TTATTCAAGATAGAGGCAGAGACGGAGCCAGCCAAGACGAAAATGGCCACTTGGACAGTTGGACAGTTGGCGGTCGTGCATCGTCTTCGTCGTGCATCGTCCTCCTCCAACCCCAGCGTTGTTCCGAGCCGTGGCCAGGAGGGTGACGAGCGGAAACGAAGGAGGATCGACGCCGCTTCCGGCTGCGTCGCTGTCACGTCGAGTTTCCACGGTGTCGCCGGGATGTCTCTATCGAGTTACGGCTTTGTTTTTGGGTCGATCGACTCTCCATCGGCACTTCGCCCGGCTCCCCGGACTTTCTTTGACCCCCTTTGACGTCGTTTCCGGCCTCGACCGATAAGCATGATAGCCGGGCAAAATTGATTTCCCAAACATTTCGTGGACTGTGGATGCCCGGCACTGGGGGAACGGAAGTTTCCGCCCTCTACGGCGCGCACTCCGGCCTCGTAATAATACTTTGTCCGTGTAGAAATCGATTTCCGTCGGCTTTACATGGCAAAGCGACCCTCGCCGAGTTTATTCGTGCCTCGGCGATCGGCTCGAATGCCGGAGATTCGCAATATGTGCCCCTTTTTCGCTCGCCGTTTCGCTCGTTGCAGGGCAAAGATGGCTGAGGTTAATTAATTGGTTGGTAATTAAAAAAAAAAAAAAAAAACGACGTGACGGTGTTTTATTTAGATCGACGATGAGTAATTTTTGTTACGTGGAGTTGAAAAATTATTTAAATATATCAACCCCTAAGGTCCTAAAACCGAAGTGTCTTATCAAAAGGGATCATTATTAAAGACATCGTTATTTTTTAATTTTCTTTTCACTTATTCGTTGTTCAGTTAATATGATTGTTAGTCGATCTAGATTTAATAAATTTATTGCAAATATTAATTAAACAACAATGGATAAATTAATTCTGGAAAAGAGACAGAATCAATGGATTCTAATCTCGTTATCATTGGTCATCCTGGGGTACACGTAAGAATGCTTCGATGGAGTTTTTAGAAATATAGATCGGTGTGGTCTCGTTTGAAATGCTCAAGAAGTCGTTAATAAAATAAAAAGGAAAAAAAGAATGGGAGGAAAACGGTGGAAAAACTGCAACGATATACTGCTGAACGTGATAGCAGTTAGTATTGGCTGAAAATCGTTCGTGATTGGAATCATGGCCAATTCTATCAAAGCACTCCTGCAGCACTGCACGATTCGTGTTTCCACTAAAAACAAGCATCGTTACAAAAACGCAACGCAAGGAATATCAATGTACCGAAATCACTTCATCCGGACGAAGTGATCCTGGGATCTGGATCGTTTTTAAATATTACTTTCGGATCGACGAAGCGCAACGAATGTTCAACTAATTGAAGTTTTATTATAATATTTCTTACGCTTATTTATCGAGCAGATTTATCAAACTACGATCTATACATGTCATCTCCCGATGAAAGTATAAATATATATGTATATTTGATATTTATTAATATAAAAAAAGAAAGGACAATCGTATAATCCATGGAAAAAATCAATATCTCCGTCAAAGTTGTTTGCATATTTGCAATTAATACAATTTTATTCGCCCATAGCCATTCCATATTTTAGTATAAAATTCGGTACATCTATTTCCTCGAATATAGGATGATCACTTGCTGAAATCACGTGTATATATTCGCTGTAATATACAATCATTAAATTAATTAAATATACAACGTGTTTATTATTATCTTCTCGCTATTAACAGAAATTGAATATAAATTCCTATTAACAAACAGCAGCTTCGATCTATTTCAGAAATCTTTCCCATTCTAATAGGATTAGAGAAAAAAAATGATCGCGTTACCTGCTATTGTCATGAACGACAATAAAGTTTCAAAGGTAAAACTTTCGTCGAACTTTAACGCAGCTTGTGTACGCAAGAATGAAGTTCAGTAGACGGGAATTTGAAAAAAAAAAATCTCTGTTTTTCCACGATTAAACATTCCAAGCCACCCCTTTCCGCTTTCACTCGGAGCTCCATCAAATCACCCTCGACCCAGTGGCGTCGAATTGCTACGAAAAAGCGGGAATGGTATAATTGTTTCCTCGCTTCTACCCTCTTTATAACAACGCGAATCGCGTTTACTCGCGCTCGAACTTTTCGATCATTCGACACTTTCCACCCCCTCCGTTACCGCCATGCTTTCCTTTCGGACGTCACAAATTCTCACGGCAAAGGGGACGACTTTTTCCCGGCGAGGAATTCGATTAGGCGTCGTTCATTGTGTAAAGGTTACTGCAGCGAAAGCATCGCCGGCTCGTTTCAGCGAAATTCCACTCGTTCCCACCCTCTTTCACTCTTTTCCCGCCGGTTTTAGGGGAACGAGCCACGGACGAACCCCTCTAGGTAACCTATAACGAGGAAGAAAGCTTTCTTTATCTGGGTTGCAAAATCGAATTGTCGTCCCTTCGTCTCGTGGGCTCTTCCTCGCAGATTCTCACACCTCCCTTTCGCCTGGAGTTCGTGAAAACATTTCATCCGAACGTCCGACCGTCTCTCGGCTGCTATTCAACTCCCCGCAGAAGTTAAGGACTCGTTGATGAAGCGAATCGGATATTCCTTGGAGAAAATAATCCGCCTGGAATTCAAACGGGGAACTCGCTGAAAACTCCTACTTGATATTGTTAATTCGTGATATGAGAAAATCCATTCAAGCTTCACCAAACTTCTCGTATTTAATTTGCATCGCGTTGCTGTCAATTGTGGTTCCGGAAGCGGAGAAAGCTGCAGGGATAATTGCTTGTACGAACAACCGCGGCTTCGGGAATTATTTCTCACGAGTTGCAGGAAAGAATTCTGATTTCGTTATTTGCCCTATCTTAATTTCGTATAATTTTCTAGATTTCACCGTTTATTATAAATAGCGAATATTCATAAGTAATAACAGTCGATTTCTTGCCAGAGTGTCAGTTCTCCTGCGTATTAATTAACGAGAAAGGGGATTAAATGATGCAAGAATTAATTTTCTTATCGTAGTCTTCTCCAAGGATCCATATTAAAAGAATCATATACAAACTTTTTCTTATTTTCACCATCACCGAAATCCAACCAATGTCATCACCTTCTCCACTGAAACATTTGCAGACAAAAGAATTTGAGAATGAAACATCAGCACCGTAGCCAGTAAATCAGTCAAACCATCTTACTTACAGAGTCAACGACCAACAATACCCAAAGATTCCATAAACGAAATATCTCGAGTACACCCTCTATTCTAGCACGCACCTTACTCATTCGTCTCACCTTCGTGAAAGAGCACTTCCTTTGCAACCCCTTCTTCCACGACACTCGCCCCTTAGACGTAGCACAGTTTGCCCGTATTCGCAAAACTCCGAGCACCTGGAACCCTCGTTGCCTCGTGCAAAAACCGAAAATTCACTTTTCCTCGTCTCTCACCTTCTCTCGCAGAACTTTCTCACAGACGGAAGCGTTTCCGCCCCTTGTCCCGCGGCGGGAGCGCGAATTCGCGAGAAATGGAAAATCCATCGATCTGTCCAGTCCCTGGATCGTTCTCCAACTTCTCCCTCTGCCGTTCTTGCTTGTTTTTCTCGCCGTTTTGAGCGCCTCCACGTTCCGGTAAGCGATATCTCGGTCGACTGATGCGAACAAGCCCTATTGGCAGTAGTTAGCGCGCGGAGAGCGGCCGAGACCGAGGGCTGACTCGACTGACTGGAATAGCGAGAAGGGTCGAGGTAACTTAAACAGCGGGTAACAAGAAGTAGCAAGTAATAATTGAGTCAGGCAAGTATGCCGCGGACCTAGCCGGCAAGCCGGAGAACGCCGATGTGGATGTACCTGACCGGAATTCGAAAACAGAGGCGAAGGGAGTGGGTAATTCCGGCGACTTGGCCGATGGAAGATGGTTTCTCTTCTGGCTCGTCGATCGGATAGAATTTTCGGGTTTCTTGGAATATTAATCGGAATCTCGCGCGAATTCCGAATGATTCCAAGTCGACGAGGGAGGAGGAATAAGGGATGCTTTTGTGCCTTCGAGATTAGGTAAAATGGATATCGAAGGTGTAATGAATAGCGGGTGATCGAGAGGTTGGTTTTACGAAACGTTTAATTAGGTTTGTTCTTTAATATTCTTTGTTAGGTTTCCGTTTGTTTCTTTCTTGATTGATTCTAACCGATTCATGATTTGACGATTTATTCGCAGCTCGATTCCATTTGTATATTTTCATAATTTTAAATTATAAAAATAATTTATAATCTATTTGGCATAAAAGGAGAAGAGATGTTACTTAATACTAATATATATAATTTTTACAAGCTAAATAAGAGTAAAAAGTACAACGGAAAAGATTAAAATTAATAACTGATCTACGATAACGCGATTCGTAAAAACAAAAAAGGTGAAAATATAAAAAAGCAGAACGAAAAACATGGAATTTTTAATCAACAGTTAAAAAATGGTCGTGACTCAGTGTTAAATATGATACGCGTGAATTCTTCGTTCGCTCTCTTGTTTCCACGCGTATTTTTCCACTCTTGTAACTTGTCAAATAGATCAAGAGAAAAATTTCATTAGACCACCAATCTAAATCATATTTTTATTTCCTTTCATACACTTCTAAATATTCAAATTAATTAAACAGTGCCAATAAAGAGGAGCCAAAAAAATCACTAGGAATTTCCCCATTGACTATTAAAAGCTCCCCCTTAAAATAAGTATCTCGACTTTCCTCAAAATCCTCAAACAATATTACGAGAACGTAGTCCATTTGTAAAAGCGCCTGGACGAAAAAAAAATCGCGCGACGCCGCTGCGTCGAAGGTTAGAAAGAGACCAGCAGACAAGGATTACGCCATTGGCCGACAGCGTTTCCCAAGTTGCCCGTATGGCGGCGATATGGGCGAACCGATCCGGGATCGTGCCCGATTCCTCGTTAGCGATCGATGCGAATCAGGCTGCGAGACGTCCACGTGTGGGAAGTGGCTTGGCTTCGAAGGTGACACGCTCGGATGCATGAGAAATGTCCCAGAATAACCTGCTGCAAGGATACAACTGTGAGTAGACCGTCCCCGTGTCGGCCATCGTGTCGACCGATCCTCCTCTTTCTCCGTTTTCTCAATTTTGCCCCGTTCTCGCCACCGCCGGTTTCCTCGTCGCGTACTTCCGTTCACGGGACCGATCGCGAAATCGCGCAGCTTTGAAATAACGTCGAATTCACCGGTCGTGACTTGTCGCTCGTCCGTCCGTGAAAAATGAGCTGTGATAATGGCGGCTTTCGTTTATTTGCCAGCAGCAGCCGGAAAAAAAGGCGAGGACCGACGATGTCGGACTTCTGCCTATCGCCACACGAACCTCCGGATCCCTCCGCATCCTGACAGTCTTTTCTCTTCTCCTCGACGTCCGGGAAGAAAGTCTCGGCCGTCAATGGCGGTGGCTTCCGGCTGTCTCGTTCGCCTTCGTCTTCGCGTCTGTTCGCGTGTCGATAATTATTTTAACGCCACGCCGGAGAACGCGAAACGCGAGTTTTCCTGCGGTATTTTACTCGGACACTTGGCCGGATCATCGGGATCATGCGACGCGGTGTCAGTGCATCGGGGATGACAGGAGTAATGGTGGACCGTGTAATTGTTTCATTTCGTGAAATGGTGGAGCACGTCACAGGACTTTTTTGCGGTATTTTACTCGGACACTTGGCCGGATCATCGGGATCATGCGACGCGGTGTCAGTGCATCAGGGATGACAGGAGTAATGGTGGACCGTGTAATTGTTTCATTTGTGAAATGGTGGAGCACGTCACGGGACTTTCGTGGGATTAATGTGCCGATGGTGACTTCGGGGACGTGTACATGTCACTCCGTGTGTGTTTTTTGGCAGCTGACTGACTATTCGGAGCCCTTTATGGCTGTTCACACACTCGTAAGTCCAGATGTGTTTGCAAATGTGGCTTTAAAGGGATTAATTTTTCTTGCAATTCGCCTTGCGATTTAAAGCATTAGTCGTGGAGCAGTTCCCTGGGTCTTGGGACGTAAGAGGAATGCAGGAGGAATATCGTCCACGTGAAGTTCAGCAGCTGTTCGGATTGGTTAGGAATCGGTATCGGTATTTTTAATGAAAATAGTTAATAACGGGAAATTTTATTTCTTAAGGATTAGATAAGACGTCGATCATTTCGATCTACGATTTTTAGCTATTTGTGAGTGGCTGTTAATTTTAATCGACGTGACGTGATCATGATGCATCGAATATATTAGAAATACTATTCTGTGTTTCGTATTTGGAAAAGAAGAATCTTTCGATTTCGCGTTTGCAATCGAATTCGTTGTATTCATCGAGTTCGTGCTTTAAAATCCAGCCTTACGCATATTTTTGTATATAAATAAATAATCGATATGTAACGATATACGTGATATATGTTACATGTATTTTTTAAGATACGTAGACACGCGAGTTCAATGAATGCTGGCGAGTCGAAGGAGTGAGTTGAACAAGTGATGCGTCGTCGAATATTCCTGCGGCCGGGATGCAACATTGTCTCAGGCTCGAGGATGGAACGCTCGACAAAAGCGTTACATTGTTTCAAGAGACATCTGTATCGCTAGTTCCATTTAAATCAGTGTCACTCAACTGGCGGATCATCTAAAATATCATTTCCCGACTTCTAATGAAAACGGGTTTCAATCTCGCTCCGACCGAGTTCTTTTTACCTCGCTTCAGACATTCCGTGAAATACGCGTAAATTGAAGTCGTCCTTTCTAAAATACACCATCGAGTCGAAGATTATTTTTCCGTTAAACTTCGTCCCCGTTTGGAGTTTTAATTTTCATCCCGATCCGAGATACAATCTTCACTCGCAGTAGCTTCTTCTTTATCTTGTCATTGTGGGTCGAAAGAGTTACTCGAAAAGGTGGATATTAACAGGGAAAAAAGATTGCATTAATCTCTTATGGGATTACTCTCGTTCTCTCTCTTGTCATCATGAAGACCGTTCTTTTTCCACCGGACAAAGCGGAAGTTGCGGAGTAATCAAGCTCTATAGGGGACAGGGGTATCGTGATTTCGTCAAAGTGCAAAAAGAAAGGGAGAAAAGCTTGGGGGCTTTTAGTCAATATAACATAAGTATCACGATTTATTCATTCGCGGCCATTACAAATTCTTTTAGTTGGACACGATCTAATTTCACAAAGAGCATACGGAAAACGGTAAAGTAACAGCAGTTGCAGCAGGCAATGGATTATTAAATAAAAAAGGAAAAGTGGAAAAGGGAGAAAAAGAAAGGACGAAGGAAGGGGAAAAGGATTATTTTATCACGAGAGGTATTAGAGTACCAGAATATCGTGCTCCCCTTTCTCGGCAGAATCTTAAAAGCTTCCTGCTAAAAACATATGCACGATCCTTCTTCTTAATCCCAGCCGACTCGAGACTTTCAACGGAGAAATATGTAGCATCTCGAAAATAGCTGTTTAACAATGTTCTTTATCGCGAGCCTTCCATTTCCAGTTTCGCGTAAAATCGTTTGAAACGGAATCGTAATGGCGATGCTCCCGTATCAACCCTTTGCACTTTGCTGGCGCCATCTTGATGACTTCGACAGCCTGCGATTAGTTATTCGATTTCGTTTTCGTCCATAGAAGTATGACATTATCAGCGGTGTTCTTTATCCCGAATTTTTCATTTACAGCTCGCATAAAACGGTTTAAAACGGAATCGTAATGGCGAACTCCGTTTCATTATTAACCCTTTGCTCTCTGCATCGACGCCATCTTGGAGCCACTGATAGTTTCCAATCAGATATTCGGTTTCGTTCTTGTCGATAAACACATCGAAGTAAATAAGGCTATTACGCTAATAGATTTACGGATATTTGTAATTTTATTCCTCTCGGAATCAAATTTTTGATTGTAAAATCTCGATGCAAGAGTGTGATCGAATGATTGACGGATGGGATACAAATATTTTGGAGCACGATTAACTCGGCCGAGATTATGGCACTCTGTTTCTAAACGATCGCGTATTCTGTTTCGGAGACCAGTGTCTTGTTTCGATATCCAGTCTTATTTTAGGAGAGACAGAATTCCTTTTAAGCGGTCTGACCTTTCGGCTTTAAGGAACGCTGTTCAACTTTTTTAGGGGAGACCCAGTACGAGGATCCGCAGGTGCAATTCACTCGTCCTATCCCGGATGAAGTCATCAGGTGAGCTTAAATAATTAAGTGCGTCGCAGTTGCGTTCTGAAATGATTAAATTAAGAAGAAAATTGCGTCATTTCAAACGAAATTAAGATTTAACGCGAGTATTCAATTGTGTACACACATCTGTCACAGGACTCGCATATATTTCGAGCCACGCTCTCATCGTACCTTTTAATACCAAATTTAACTGTATCCATCGTGTTGTAATTTTTGCGAATATCTGTGATCATTTTTCACACATTTTTAATCGCAATTTGCACGGTATCTTACACACCTGTTAATATTTTTTATCGCGTACCAAAGTGTTTCTTTGTACGTGTATTGTAAATAGAAATATTAATTAGATTATCGATATATTTTGATAACAATTTTGCATTTTCAGTGTTTACGAAGTTTATGTAAAAGAGGAATCCGCGGGTTCCGAGGGGAGGAACGATATCACCGTTGTACCGAGTTTGCCACCCACGAATGATCATCAATTAATTCAGGTAATTACGAGTGCTAAATTGACAATTAACTTTCCTTTATTAATAGCAATTATTAATGACATCGCGCGATATGTGCGCGGTAATTTTCTGCGTCGTAGGTATTTTCTATAAAGGTGCAATTTAATTTGTTTCCAGGGTGATTGCATGAACCTCAATGTCGCTATAGATTCTGAAGTAATTAACATTGACGGTACGGTGACAAAGTTCCTCGGGAAAGATGCTTTTAAATATAAGGTAAAAATATCGAGGAACGTTCTTTTTCCTTGTTTTATCGCAGGAGAGCTAGAAAATGTCTTCTTCTTGTAGATCCTCGATCAAAACGTTAATTCGGCCGAAGATAATGTTACGGTGTTCTCGCACCCAGTCGTCGAAGGGCCATCGTCGTCTACTACTCGTCTGATCGATAAAGATGATCCAAGATCGAAACTCCATTTCGTGAAATACCTGAAACGGGATGGAAAAACGTTGAAAATCTGGGAATGCGGCATTTGTTAGTAATTCACGTATTAATCTAATATCTCGTCGAGTATTTTTATTCGTCATTTCATCGCGTTGTCGAATATTAAAAAATTCACAAATTCGCAAATTAAAAGATTCGAAACTTGAAAGATTGCAAAATAGAAAAGTTATAGAGTTAGAAAATTTAGAAACTCCAAAATTTGAAAGCTCGAAACTTGGGAAACTCGAAAATCTGAAAATTGAAAGATCGGAGCTTAAAAAATTGCAAACTTAAAAAATTGTAAAGTTTGAAAATTTGACGATTTAGAAATTCGAGAGTTGGAAACTTGGAAATTTAGAAAATTCGAAATTGTGAAAATTTAGTTCAAATTATTGCCACTAAAGATCCTGTAATAATGCTCTTTTCGATTACCGTTAAGAGACACAGAGAACGCGATACTGTTTCTTTTGCAAATCGATCAAGAATCGCGAGAGCTTCGCTAGAATTGCCGTAAGCTTGATATTCGACCCAGGTTCGAAGGAGTTCCGGCATCAGTACACGTTGATGAGGCATTTGCCAACGCACACCGACGAGCGGAACTTTAAATGCGAGGCTTGCGGCAAAGCTTTCCGGCAGTTGTCGACACTGAGCCAGCACAAGGCCATACACAGCGACGCTAGGCCGTACGTTTGCGAATTTTGTAAGAAAACTTTCAACAGGTCAGTATTATCGAGTCACTCTACGACCCCTATCCAATCGGTATACCCTGCAACGTTTTCCGATTCCATCTGATCTGTCAGTCTCTCGTCTCTCGTTCCCCATGGGGTCGTTTAAACCTCGTTCCGAGTGTTTTAACGAACAACTCTTATATAGAAATTGAAATTACAATTTTATCTGGCAGAAAAAAAGAAGAAATAAAATAGAAAAAAAGAAGATAAAGAAAAAAATGGTGGCGCGAGCGACGAGTGCAAGTGCGTGCAGATCATTAGCGTTTTGAATCGCGGCGAAATTGCGCGATTGTGCGCAAAAGCGGAAAGAAAATTTTAACGAGCTCGGATACGTCGGTCTTTTTATAAATTAATCTTCGTAGAGCATGCTTTTTAAACGAGTCCGCTCGACTGCGTCATAGCGATGCATTAATTTGAAACGGTCCCGGGTGTAGAGCTCGCAAAACTCTCTGTGAATGGACAATTGATTCGATTACGAAGCATTAGTCCTCGAACTTCACCCAAATCGCGCGTACTATAACTTTCGTCCCATTTATCCCAGCTAAAAAGTCCCATTATACATTTACAGTAACGTCCCTATTCTCGTTCGGATTTTCAACCTACGATATTCATCTGTTTAACCAACTATGTATCTTTTTAGGGTATCCACGCTGATCTCTCACAGAAAGACCCACTCGGAACACAAGCCGCACAAGTGTCAGGTTTGTGGAAAGGGATTCCATCAAAAGGGTAACCAGCAATTTCTTATCCAAATTTATATACACTCCAGCCGTTTCAGAATTGCGATTTACTACGATCGTAATGATCTTGAGCCGCGAGGAAAGTACAGCGCGAAACGCAGACCGAAAGAAAGTAAAGTAAAATGGCAACCCAAGTCCAGGGTAGACGCGTGAAAGTCTCGGCTTTGCAACGGTCCGAACTCGTTGAAATTCGTTATGCAAATCTCTGGATCGCTTTTTGCGACCGATCGATTAAACCCAAGCCAACAATTCTGAAACAGCTTGTACAAAGTAAGTAAGCCGCGGCGGTGTGCAGGCAACAGTTAAATACCGTTCCGTTGTCAGGCAATTTGAGGAACCACGTGTTTACCCATACGAACGAGAGGCCGTACAAATGCGAGCTTTGTGGCAAAGGCTTCAATCAAATGTCGAATTTGGTCTGCCACAAGGTCAAAGCGCATGCACACGCGGAGAAAATGCAGCACGTGTGCGGAATCTGCGGCAAAGAGTTTCCGCGTCGATTCTCTTTGAGATCGCACGAGGAGTACAAGCACGGCATAAAGTATCGACATCCGGCAGGTGTGCAGCAGGGCATCAGCGATCCGAACGTCATAAGAAAGTAGGTAGACGTCACCGAATCCGACAGAACCACGCTTAATTTCCACCATGATGGACGTCCGGCCTAGGATGGAGACTCGACTCGAACGAACGCAACGACTCGAACGTTGATCTTTCGCTTGGTAGAAAGCTGACGCTTCTCTTTCTTTCGATTCTCACTCGTAGATAGATCGATCTTTGCCTCTTCAATGCTTCCTCTTTATCATGCATCGGTCTGCTGATCCTAGTTTTCGTTGACACGTTCCTCGCGCTGAGAGAAATAGGCTACCCGGTGAGAGGTTAGCTACCGATCTAAAGATATCTTTAATCAGAGAGATACAGACGAATGATAATTGTCGAATTTCGTACTCGGTAATTGTGCATTCGCCGAGTAACCGGTAACGAGCAAGCCTGGTTGCCTATTGTTGTAGATTATACCTAGTTATTGCTAGTCTAGAGATATGGAACGTATTAACATGACGTATTTACGAGTTAGCGTGTTTTCGTTCGACCGTTCCATGCTGTAATCGCGAATCATTGATCGGTTGTAAATGAAATTTCAGTAAGAACGTCAGGATCGTGCAGCTGCCCAATGGCGATCGGAATCAGGCGATCGAGGTTAGGGACAAGGATCCTTTGATGGCGGTTAGTAATTCGTTCGAGTAATAAATTCATTCTTGCTTTCTTCGATGTCTTTGAAGGTTGAATATATGTTTCTCGTATTTTCAAACAGCCGGATGTCATGGAATCGGTCGTGATAGACAAGATCGACACAAAGGCGATGGAGATGGCGCTGATGGAAGGACAGACGCCATTCGCGCTCTTTAAACCAGCCAAAGGAATTCCGGTTCTCGTGAAAGTCTCTCCGACTGGAACTCATAAAAACGTAATAGATATTACGCCATTAAGGCTTAGAACGACTAAGATAAAGCGAATGTCGAATAGATAATTAAACGATAATTAAATAACGATGGATTTTAATGGAAGCGATTTCATTTACGAATTCAGATCTTGACACCTGCCACGGCCGAAGATCTACGCATGGCCGGCAAGATGAGCCTAAGTCCAACAATTCCCACCGACGCTGACAGGATCAAAGCTGTTCAAGTAAAAGTACCGGTGGTAGCCACCGTCATTCAGAACATAGACTCCGAGGGGAAAATAAATTTCATCGTCGAACCACCTGGCCCAGAGCACGAGCACGGTGAGCAAACGAAAATTTCCTCCACGATCTTCGTATTTTATCGTAGCAACAATCAGATCCGCGAAAAGGTGCCCTCGAGAGGAACAGGGATTTTATTGAACGAAAGAGATTCCACGATAAATAGCGATCGGTAGCCTAGACGATAGCTACGTAGCCTGGTAATGGTAATTGTTTCGGATGTTGGCCGAACAATTCCATTCGCGATATGTTTCCAAAGGACTTTCTAACGCGTCGTTCTCCGTCTATAATTGGCTCGTTAAAGTAGAGATGTTTTTCAAAGTGTCGCTGCAATATGGCGTTTATTTGGTGCACTGTCGACAGAGAGCTTGGTCACGGCATTGGATTCTCAGTTCACGTACAGCGAGCCGGCTAGAAACGAGCCCGATCGCCAGAATGCTCCTGTTGTGTCCTCGGCGATGGAGGATTGCAACGAGTTGCTGGAACTGGCCGCCCAGGGTGGAATACAGTTCGTGCGCGCCACTGAGGATGGTCGTTACGAGGTGATGCATCATTCATTGTGGATAGCTAAGATTTTTAACATCGCGAAATGAACTTTCGCACCGTAAAATAAGGTCCAAAATGCAACGTGAAACGCGAAACGTTATTTCTCAGCAAAGATATCTCCCGAATTCTTTCGAGTTGCTTCGATCACCTCGTTATCGACCTCGTTTCACGCGATCTAGGTAATGACGAACAGCGAAGCTCGGGATTTGATGGCGCAGAACTCGCACGACGTGACCATACTCGAGGGCGAAGAAGCGGATGCGATCAATGTTGTGAATATGCGCGGTAACGGGGAAGTTATTATCGGGGATTCCGATAATCAGATCATGGTACTCGATTCCGCGTCCACGCAGAAATCCATGCCGATGGACAGCATTGAGATCCTGGAGGACAAGGACATCCGGATCCTCGACAGCAAGAGCCTCGACGATCGTTTCGTGGATGGCATTAGCTTCCTCTCGCAATCGAAAATCGACGATCTGATCTTGGGTCCCAAGCCTCTGTCCATCGATGGCGGAGTCGCTGTTAATGAGGACGAGGACGAAGGTACGTACTCCGTTCAATTACTATTCCCTCGATTTTCTCGTATCGTTGCGAAATTCCGTTCAATTTTATTCGTCCAATTTGCAGCCATAGGCGTGCCTTCGAGCCAGCAAGAATTGACGAACATTCTAAGCCATAGAAGCGACATTTCCACTCTGTCCACCACCTCTCAGTCCTCGATATCCTCTCTGTTAATGAAGAATCACACGCCGCTGTCGATTTTAAACGATACGCTTCCCTATCTCAAGAGTAACACCACCTTAGCCGAGGACCTTAGCATCCTGGGCAATTCGACGATGGACGATCATCACTCCGTGTATGATCCCAAGCTAAAATTGCCCTCCGTTTTCGATGATCCTGAGCCTGATACTGGTCTCATACCTATTAGCCAGTCGGATATGAAGCTCCTCGGTTCAGGAAGCTCGAACAAGGTTAGTTTTTGCTATGTAAATTAATTTTCTTACTAGAATTCGATATGTCGTCACACCGTTCACCTCTGAGGCATATCAGTTATCAGATGAAGATTATGTTAGATCGTGATTTTGACGTATGTCTCTAACTGTTTCGAATAATTATTTCCACATTCGAATTTCCGCATATGAAGATCCTATGCAGCAAGACGAATTGTCTACCACCGACCAAACTGTTCCCCAGCCTCAATGAAGTGAAGATACTGGGCCCGAAAAATCACAGCCAGGAGATGATGACGGCACAGTATCAGGAGATGAAGCTACTGAGCCCCTACGAGCAGTTTTTGAAGAGCACTGCCTCGAACACGAACGGCTGCGACAGCGGCGGAGTAAACACTTCCGCTGGATGTAGGAAAGAGGTGAAAATTCTGGGTAAGAAGTTAGGAACTGGCATTATTACCAGCACCGAGGAGGGCAACGTCGTGGAAGTTATCGAGGAGAAAACCAAGCTGGTAAGAGATTCCATGATTACCTCCAATTTGTTCGCTAATCGTGTCGCTCTTTCTTACACCTTCTCCGTTTAACAACGCCGTGTTTGCTTAACGTTCAAAATCTGCAACGTGCCGACGCCAAAATGGCAGTTTCGAGAATTAATTTTCGAATTCGATGGACAAACATTCTACGTTAAATACGAACCTAGACAAATCTGGTAAAACTTTGATTAGAGATCGAGAAATTTCATAGAAATTAGAACTTTTTCCATTGAAATAACGTTAATTTTAATGGAGCCTTAGGTAAACTAAGAAATAATAAGAACATCGATCATCGCAACTATAGAAATTGAATATCAAGAGTACCTAAATTGCACTAGCAAAATTCGCTTACGGTTACATTTTTCAAACCAGTCCTCGGTCTTCTTTCTCACAAAAATATCCACGTAACCAAGAATAAAGAGATATGAATTTTTTTAAAGATGTTGGACACTACAGGACCCTGCAACCCATCTGACAACTCGGTAATTTCGTCACCTCGGCTGGACAGGCAGATAACGGAAAATGGCGGGCCAGACAGTTTTTTCCTTCAAGTAAATACATTCTGCGACGCGTATTATTTATAGATCGCTGAAACAGAGAACGCTTTCCTCGATCTATGCAGGCCTGTAGTCCTTGCGACTCGGACTTTCTGAATTTCGAGAATCGTCTGAAAGACACGTCGCCAGCCGGCCATTTCGGGCGAACCCAGAAGGATTCCAGGGACAGCTTCAGCTCCACCGGCGGCCTTCCCGATCTCGATTGATCAAGAATCCGATCTATCGGGTCTCTGCGTTCGCTCCCCCTGCTCCCTCGTTGAAACTTCCGTACCTTTGCTAGCGCAGATGTCGCCGCGAGTGCTCCCAAATGGCTGTGAACGACGGATGTGATGATAATTACGCGCGAGGGATGAAATTTCGTCGGAAGGACGCGCGCGATCGAGGCAATCGGTGCATTGATTTTCTTTTTTTTCACAGCTTTTTATTTCCAGATCCCCGCAGGATCCCAGAGGGTTTCGAATTCTTGCGATTTTATTCCGAACGTCTCGCGATTAGTTCTCGATAGCTGGTCCCGGAGTCTCTTCGCCAGGTTTCACGGGCGTTCTCGGAGTTGACTCCGCGAGACGGGTAAATTTCAGCGCGAGGAGGGCACCGCGAGGATGACAACGGAACGCTTTTAATCGATCGTGTCCTAGGAAAATGTTGCAGGAAGACTCGAACGTTCGCGAGGGATTTATAAATTTCGTAGAAGCACGCCAGCGTTTGAAGCAATGATTTATTTTCTTTTCGTAGCCTTAGAATATTTTTCACGATTTCGCTGGGAATTTTGAGACTCGCGATTCTACTCGATTCGATGAAAGGTGAACGAAAGTCGGGGGAAAACAACGGGTACAGGGAGAACAGGGACGCTAACGGAGGAATATCTGCAGAGTGGATCTTTAGGAGAATGTTAACAGCGTGGGAAATTTAAACGAGGCTGGTAATTTTATGGGGAATGCTAATGATTTTACTCGTGGATGAGAGAGTTGTATTTTTGCGCGGCGTCCTGGCCGACAGCTTGTAAATTTTAATTCGCGTGCATGTGCCCGCGTCCCATGTTCAAATACGCATTGTTCATTTTCCCGGTTTCTATTTTAACATGGCCGATTACATTGTGTAAATTCGAATAGCATTTTATATTTGAATTTCGAGGTTGGAGAATAAAATTATATGCAGAAAATAATTAGCCATTGTGCGTTTTTAATTTGCGCCGGTGCCGTCCGTGGCAAATGGAAAGCCTTATTTAACTCGTATACGTGTGTCATGTTTAAATTACAGGATAAGGAAGCGGAGGAAGCGGAAACAGCTGTCGAAATGTTTAATTAACCTGACGCTAATTACGCGTTTACAAGCACCGAGATAACATTGAAAATGTGGTAGATTATTTTTCATTTTTAATTTAGAAACGTTAGAAAAGTTATGATTGATCGACGAGAATTCCGATGACAACGATCTTCGAGGACTTTGAAATCTTAACACGACCTGAAATAACCTGGACAATCGTGAACTGCTTCTCACTGACTTTGACATAACCTAGAATGAGCTTAACAGAACGTTATGTCACTTCGCATAAGCGTGATAGGACTTTGACAATCCTCGACGTGCGATTAATACGACTTTAGCGATCTGGCTGACCTTACGTAATCTTCGATTAAACGATCTTCAGGCGATGTTATTAATTTCAACGAGTCCAATTTCAGTCTAATCTCGTGTTAACGCCAATCTACTCTGCTACCTTCTACATCGGTATATTCATCTTCTAATTTTCCATTTAATTTAAGAAATACTCGAGATCTGACGGACAGTATCAGCAAGACTCTGTCATCCGTTCTTCCAGCATATCGGTAACAAAATAAATGAACGGAAATGTCCGTGGAATGGAGAAAATTTAGGAAAAGCAGCCAAGCATCCGCATACACGCGTCTTCCTTTTCCCAAGATTTTACCCCAACGCGATCGTTGATCCGACACAACACGTGTCACTGTCGCTTTCCACTTTCCTCGCGTACCGTGATACATATTACAGTTTTTCCCCGTCACCCCGTTTCTCCGTGGAACCCGAGGGATCGGTGGATTCGATAAAATTTACTCAACAGAAGGCGACGTTCGCCACGCGAACTTCTAGCCACCTTCATTTCCGGCTGTGTCCTCGTTCTCGGTCGCGCTGGCGTCGCCAACCAGACGGGCTCAAATCAACCTGGGTTAGGTCCGGGATTCAGACAAAGGGAAGCGTCACGGGAAAATTTCTGCCGGTCCGAACAGCTTTCCCTATTCCCGGCTCTCTTTCCCCTTTGTATCGTTGCTCCGCAGCCCTGCTGATAACGTCGAAACGTTCGGGGATTTCGTTTCCCTGTTCAGGCTGGATTTAATGGGATACGGAAACGAAATTAGTCGTGTGCTCCGTCACGTAATCGCCATGAAATTTCTATTGGAAATATTTTCACCACCGTCTTCTTTTCTGCGGTACTCCTCGCCGTTTTAACCTTCTCTCTTCTTTCTTCCAACGTAATTGCGTTTGAAAGAAATTTCGACAATGTGTTAATATCGTATATCTTTATCTTTTCTTTATTATGATTTATTAATTATGGCAACCCTGTTTAGGATTTTTACACATTTCCAATGGGCTGTTTCTCTTTTTATCTATCGGTGTTTATTATTTCGCGAACGTTTCTCGTTGAACGTATGTTTTCCCAGCGTGCGAGATTGTAAAATGGAGCATTATGCATTCGTAACTGGCTCATGCTGCATATAATTTCCAAGAATCTACAGCTGAGTACAGCGAGGGTTTGTTATTTTTAAATTTCGGAAAATTCTGACGAGCCATGGTTATGCCACGGTTAACTCCTAAATGTAAGAATCAGATCGAAGATAAAGTAGGAATCCAAAATAGATCGGTAACGAAAGGTGAGCATGGGGTAAGTGTGGAGTAAGTGTGCAGTTGGTTAGCGAATAGCAGTGAGTAAAGAGCGATAGTGTGAGCGATCCACCAGTATATGAACGTAAAATAAAAGTATAGGATGTCCCAAAATTCACGCAAGATTTGAATTTTGCGCCATTTGTGCGGTAAAGTGTTGCCAACGAAAAAAAAACACCGTGACAACTATCAGTTCAGAGTTATTAAAAATGGAGCGCCACACGAAAGTATATTTACAATTTTTAATGAAAAATCTGTGTTTTATATCCAAATTACATCTTGCGTGAATTTTGGTACATCCATTAGAATTAACACGAGTCATTCCAGTTCGTCTATCCTCTTTATTTTATACCCTTAAATAAATAATTTGCTCCGTCTCGTTCCTCGATTTTAATCGACTTGTCAAACGAGCCACGATCATCCCTCTTCCATTAAATTTCTCGAACTTCATACGTGTCAAGACATCGAATCCGGATTAGGAGATAAAATTCTCTTCTAGCCAACTAATTGTAAGCAGCATCGTAGATATTTCTGCAATGCGAAACAATGGGAAGAAACCATTATCATCGTGAGTTATCATAGGCAAACTCGAAGGTCTGGGGGAACTTCCGGTGTGTACGTACACGTCTTTGACGAATGGAGGGGACCTGGCTGTGAGTCGATTCGGAAAACTTTTATCCACCAAAATTGCGTGAACGAATCGACGTAACGCCATTGACTTCTTCGTTTCGCCTCGCTTTTCGCCTCCGCGCACGCGCCCCGCGCCAGAGACGCTCCACGACGAGCGTTCACGGAGGGAGATCGAATTTGCGAAATGGCTGTGTACGAGGGTTGAATTTCTGACGAGGTAATTCGCGGGGGAAGCAGACCGACGTCCCGCGGAAGGCAGAGCGGAAAAAGTTGTAAGGGTGAGAAATTCAAAGTGAATTCCAACGAAATAGGCGTCCCGACGATTCACTTCGTTACGGGTGACAAGTTATCAGGCCTTTCTTGCGAGGGCCACGTTCAATCGGCGAAATCATTTTCGTCGTTCTTCTCTGCAGATGCTTTTGGCTGCACGGGGTGAGCCATTTTCGTTCAATGGCGGATCTTTCGTTCCTGAATCCCTTTGAAGCTTCCTTGCCTTCGAAGGTGTTGGAATTTTCCCACGAATCGTATTTGCTCTCCTGTATCAACCTCTTCAGGGACACTGCAACACATGTGTGCGTTCGGTTCTTTTAAAATTACGATTATTACGAGTGAAAGGAAAATTAGAATCAGTTGGAGAACTATTCACCATAGAATCCCTTAAGAATAAAAGAAAAACATCGACGAAAATCACCCCTAATAGCTTATTCTACTTTATAATCGCTGCTTTAGAATCGTCAACTTTATTAACGTTAACTTAAAGACAATTAGACCCTGAAGAGGTTAACGCTGGAATTACCTGAGGGATAGTAATAAATTGTTCCAGATTTTAGTTTCGCAAGTTCGGAAAATTAGTCGCGATATCTAAGCTAGAAAGAATATTTTAATTGATAAGAATAGTTTAATAATTCTTGATTTTATTCAAGAATGTGTCAGTGGAATGACGCGTGGAATGATAGCAATAGGTATGTGGCTCATTACTAAACAGACGTGGCTTTACTGTACGGTTTTGGTTCTGGCACTAGACTAGATGATCCTAGGAAGGCCTTGTAAAACTGACACCACTAAGCCTAAGGGAAAACTCAAGCGAGAGTTTCTAGACACCCACAGAAGTTGGTTTAAGCTTGTATCGCATCGTTGATTCCAACAAAATATATTATACACAAATGATAATAATCCCGATAAAAATTATTTCGATATCAATTTTGCCAAAAGCAGCTGTAAAAATAAAATATCCAAGATGAGGATCAAAAATATTTTAACACCCTTGGTAGTTTTATTGTTAAGATATAAACACGAGGCATCTTTTTGGAATATTTAACTTTCTTCCCTAAATATATCTTCTATGACAATTTATCCAATCTCTTTCGCATCCCTCATTTAAAATTACACTACTGCGACAATTATTTTCCTCTAACTTTAACAAGTTCGTTCCTGAAGGACGAGTAGAAACGTTATCGATTCCATTATTGATTGACTTTACTGATTGATTGGACGTGGAAAAAATTCTATATAAACGTGCTCGTTAACAGGGGCGAAGGTTAATATCGCGCAGGCAGAATTTTGTCGAATAGAAATTAAATAGAACCGTTGGCGGGACGCAATTGCCGAAACTTAATTACGGGGCCTTCGATGCAAATTGCTTTCGCACGACATTTGTTTCAAAATGGTCCACTTTCGACCCCGT